AACATTTTCATTCTATTGAAAATCATTTGAAGCTCTCTCTTGTGTTCATCAATCTTCATCACTGTGTTCTTATTGATTTCTACTTTGGTTGATTCTTATCTTTTCCGCTGCATCATCACTGTCAAACAGATCATCCAAGTAAGTAATTAATACCAAGAAACCAAGTTAATCGATCCTACAAGAAGTAGACGAATAATTAAAATGTTATGTCATAGCATTGGTTGTTTCTACAAATTTCCTAACTAGTACAAAATTTTTATTTGTTGGCACACACTTTACTTCCTGTTTGAGGGGACCATTGACCTTCTTCCCTTTAGCTGAATGAGAAGAAATATGAATGTTAGAGTTTTCAGAAGTAGGCCATTTTTGTTTTTGTTCAGGAGTGAACTTTATGATTTTGGAGAGAGGGTCTTGGCTTGTTGAGATTCCTTGGCAGGTTTGACTTTACTCAGATTTTCTTTTTCTAGTTCTAAAGAAGTCTTAGCTTTTATGCACATATCTGTGAAGTCAGGATTCATTGGGATTGTTGGAACTTGCGTTTTCTTATCCACAATTACTTTTGGGTTTTAACAAATTATTTCTTCTTCTTCAGAATCAGAATCAAGAAAGTCTTTTGAAGATTTCTCAAAATCTAAACCTTCAAGTTTGTTTTTAGCAGAGACGAGTTCTGAGGTTGAAGGTTTAGAACAATCCTTTAGAAGATTCATTGCTTCTGATTTGATAGATGAATTTTCCAAGGCAATTGAGTTATTCATCGATCCTTTAGATGGCTTTGGTTCCTTACTTAGATGTTCTAGTCCATCAGTAGCACTTTCTGATGTACTTGTGGAATCGATGACAAGAGGCACTGGTTTAACTATAAAGTTTCCATCGTCCTCTGGTTTGGATGGAGTTAAAACTTTATCTTCTACATCAGAATTTTTACTAGTGTCACACTCATAAACCACATTTTCAAATTCTTGTCTTGAAAATATGGTTTTCCCATTTACTTTGGCTTTTTTGAAATAGGCTTTTGGTTTAGGAGAAAAGTTAGGTTTTTGAACACATCCAAGTTTAAAAGTGGATTCAAGAGTGGATTTCTTGTTTTCAATGAAAGAATCAAGATCTTTGAATCCTATTCCTTGATAATCAGTCTGACCATTAAGTTTCTCATAAACATTTTGAGCATCCTTATATTTCTTCATCAAAAGTTCATTGGTGTGAAACTTCTGATGAAGAATCTCTCTTTCCTTTTGAAAGAAATCATCTAAAGCTACTGAGTTTAGTCTCTCTGCCTCGGATTCTTTTAAATCTTTTACCTTTTTCTCTAGATCTTTAGAGATCTTCTTGTTCAAATCCAAAAGCTTTTCTTCCTTTGATCTCTTAAGAGATGCAATGCATGTCTTTTCTTTTTCTAATTCAGCTTTTTCTTTAGTAAGAAGATTAGTTTCTCTTTTATAGAAACCAACTTCTTTTTCTGCTTTCAATCTTTCAGATTTTTCAAAGTTCAATTTTTCTTTTAATTTCAAGAAATCTTCTGAAAGTTTTATAACTTTTAACTCTAGCTCTGATGGAGCAGAATTGGTTTCATCAAGGGAATAATTACATACCTGGTCATCGGAGTCAGAAGAGGATTATGCAGTGGACTTGGCCATAAGGCATATGAGAGCTTTATCTTCTTCATCGGATGGAGAGTTAGACACCCAGTTTTCTTTTTCTGCCATGAGGCTTCTTTCTCTGCCATGAGGCTTCTTTCTCTACCATGAGGATTCTATCTCCTAGATTGTATTTCTATTTATTTTTGTAGTAGTATGCATTCTTAATTAGACGTCCTTTGCAATCCTTGGAGAAATGGCCTAGCTTTTTGCATCGGTAGCATCTTAGACCATCTTTTTTTTCGTCTCCTCCTTCTCTTCGTTCCTCTCTTCTTTCTTCTCTATCTTCTCTATATTCTCTTCGTTCATCTCTCTGATGAAACTTGATTGTCTTCTGTCCATAGGTGGGCTTGAATTTATCTCTTCTGGAGTCTCTTCTGTTGTCTTTTTCAAAGGGTCTCTTGATGAACTTCTTCTGGAATTGTTTGGTAATCAAGGCAAGAGATTTGGCAAAATCTTTCAAATCATCATCAGAATCTGAGGCTTCTTCTTCTGATTCAGATTCTATGATTAAAGCCTTCTTGCTCTTCTTTTTGTGGTGTTCTTTGGAGGAGCCTCTAATAACCTCTGTTAGCTTCAAATTGATCCTAATAATTATCTCAAAAAGTTTTATTAAGCAATCGGAGCTGAGAATGGAACATCTGAAGATGCTTTTGTGCCAAAACGTCTAAGTCTGGAAGAAGACCAGCCTCTGTGATAAATCGACCAAGTATGGACGACCAGAGCCTCTGTGAAAAGAACCAGAGCCTCTG